AGAGACACCTCAAAAGGAAAGATCTACTTGCAAAAAATTAGCCATTGATAACCCAATGGAGCAGTTCTACTTTGACACACAAGGTCACCATGAGACATAACCTACTCAATGGCAACTGATTTAAGGGTAGTTACAGGGACACAGATTATAAATCAAGAGCCTTTTAAATAATCAAAACAAAAGTGGTGCCAAAATAGATACAAAGAAGAAACAGGGTGAAGGGCATAAGAATATAGTATAAGGGGAAGGTTGTGGTCACTGCTTGGTCACAGCCAGCTACCCAGAGGGACTGAGTAGTTGAACCTGGGGCTTGGGACCATAGTTGCAGGGGACATCAAGCTCAATTGGCATAACATACTATACAAAACATTGTTCCACCTCCAACTTTGGCAAGTAGCGACTGGGATCTTAAAAGCTAGCAAGCTGCCATCTAGATGCAATGATGGGTCTCTCCTCATCCAGAGCAAAGAAGAATGAAGAAAACCAAAATTCATGGAAACAATTAGTCCTAGCAACTGGTACACCATCTGATCTGCAGCCTATACGACTATGAGACCAGAAGAACTAGATGGTGCCCAGCTACTACTGTCATCCACTTGAAAGGGGATCTATGTAGGAGATCCTAGATAGAGAGGTAGAACAATATGGAACAAAACTCAAAATCATTTGGAGAAAAAAAAAAGAGGGGGTGGGGACAAGGTTTGCTGGTCCGATAGAGCCTGATGGAACCACTGAGACTATGGCCCCTAGCTGCCATTCAGGTCTGGAATTGAACCCACACCTGTAGTTTCCAGCCAATCAAAACACAGGCATATGAGTTGAACATTTACCTCAGGTAGATACACTCCCTGGAGAAAACAATCATGGGAGAAAGAAGGGCTGTTTATGCACAGGGAGACAGTTCAGTGGGCAGAAGTCCATGGTGGGATGGACACAGGGAAGAGGTAACTATGTGGAGGAAGTGGGAGGGGAGCTGTTGCATGTGGTAAACTGTGGTCAATGTCATGAGACAATGTGTATGTGAACTGCTGTATGGAAAGTGAATTTGCTCTGTAAATCTTCACCCAAATCACAATTAAAAAAGAATAATAATAATATAGTATAAAGGTAATATTCCACAGTAGTCAGGAAAGGTGCAGTGCAATGAATCCCTTTTAGATGGCCTTTTCTAGCCATGGTCTTATAACTCTCATAAAATGACTGGGTGGGACTATGCAAATAAGGTTCATGGAACAGTTTCAGGGAAATGGTCACTTCTGCTATCCTGCTAGGCTTAAAGGGACCAATACCACAGAGGTTGGGGGTGGGACCTTACTACTAGCTAGCAAGAAGAGACAGGAGCACAGTGCATCTTTTGAGCCTGGAGTCCCTGCACTGAGAACCTCCTAGACCCAGGAGACAGAGATGTAACACTGGAGATGGTGAGAAATGGCAGCAAGCATGGTAGAGTCAGCAGTAGACAAATGGTGGCAGCAGAAATAAGAAACCTGCAGGAGACAGCATAGTGGGTTCCTTCCACAGACACAGTGGGGTTGCCAACCCAAAAAGCAAGAAGAGCTGAGCATGCCTTCAGGCAGGAGGCTCGCTGGCAAAGTGGGGTGCTTCCTTGGAGTTACTGACAGAGTTAAAGAGCTATAACACTTGCCTGAGCAGGGACCAAGGCCAAAAGCAGGGACTAAGGCTGAGAGTGAGGGCCCAGGCCAAGAGCGAGGGCCCAGGGGCAGAGGCCTGCCTGTAGGCATAGCCAAGAAAAACTGTCCTGATAGAAAAACTGTATCCTGAGTTGTTTCTGTTACTTCTAAATTGATCCTGATCCTGAATTATAACCTGTTACTTCCCTAATAAACCTATTAATCATGAGCATGGTCTGTGAGTTCTGTGTGGCCACTGCAACACATTATCTAACGCAAAGACAAGTAGAGAGTGCTGTGGGAGGGACGGCTGGTGTCAAAATTGGTGAAAAGTCTGGAAAGTGAAGGTATATCTGACCTTTACCCCACAGAAATTGGCCTTGGACTTTGGGCTGCTACTGATCATGATTCTCCTCCCCGCTTGTGAAGATGGAGGATCTCTGATACCATACCATTTTCACAAAAGAAATGATCAATAAATAGTCCTGCAATTAATATATAAAAAGCCTTTATGATATAAGAAAATAAATAAATATACACCTCAAAATAACCAATGGATATGAATGTACTGTTACTCCCCCAAAGTAAATAAAAAGGCACATGAAACTTAGGAGATGACAATTAACAGAATAGGGATTTAAAAAAAAAAAAAAAAAAATGTCATGAGAGAAGCCTTTAACAAATGTGTGGGAAAAGGCAAATTTGTTGCTGCTTAGAGGATAAAGCAATGTGAACATTGGGAGGCATTTCAGTAACATGTACCAAAAGACCTACAATGTCTCTATCTAGATCATCTGAAAAGTGTACAAAGATGAGCTATAAAAATAATTTCTGTGTAGGTGTTTACAATAGTAATAAATAAATAAATAAACAGGAGACTGGTTATATAAATTATGACAAATCCACAACTGAATATTTGCTGCCCTTAAAAACTGTGATGCAGTGAATTACTTAGTATGGCCCTTCCAGCCATGGTCTTTGTGACTCCCACCAGATGGCTATGTGGAACTACACAAATGTGAGGTATGTGTGGCCCACCAAGGGGAATGGATAGCTTGCTAATAATGTAAATAAGATACATGGCTCCTTTGTGGAGATGGGACTGTGTAAATAAGGTACATAGAAATTTAACGTGGGGATGGTTTTGTCATTTTGCTAGGCTTCAAATCAGCCCTCTCAGAGGCAGAAAGGGGGATCTCACTACCATCAAGACAGAGAAAAGTTAAGTGTGGAGTGCATCCTTGGAGCCAAGATCTCTGCACTAGACCTCCTTGGCAGAGAAACGGGCAGAGAGATTGTGGCAGCAGAACTGAGAGACGGGCACAAGACAGAGCAGTGAGCTTGCTGGCCCTCAGAGCCAGAAAGCTGAGTGCCTTTGGGCAGGAGGCTTGATGGTGGGGTGGGATGTACCTAGGTGTGCCTATCAGCAGAGCTAAAGGAGATTTAAAATACTTGTCTGAGCTGGCCAGAGGCCAGGACAACAGACCCAGGGCCAAAGAGAGACTGCCTTTGGGCATAGCCAAGGGGAGACTGTCCTGATCAACATACAGTATCCTGAGCATTCCTGAACCTGAATTGTAACCTGTTACTTCCCTAGTAAATCCCATAGTTTTGAGTACTGTTTGTGAATTCTGTTTGGCTCTTGCAATAAATTATCGAACCTAGCAAAGAAGTAGAGAGTGTCGTGGGAGGGACAAGTGGTGTCAGAATTGGTAAAAAGGTTAGAGGGTGGCAGCATGTCTGACTTCCACCTCACGGGAATCAGCTTTGGCCTGTTGATATTGATACTACTCTCTCCCCCTCACGAAGTTAGAGGAAGTCAGAGGATGCTGCCCCCAAGTCCTTTGTGCAAAAACAATTAGGTACCTCCGGTAGTTCAACGGTTAAGCATTCATCTGCTACCACCAAAAGGTCAGTGGTTCAAATCTACCAGTCACTCTACTGGAGAATAGAACTGGCAACCTGTTCCAGTAAAGACTACAGCCTAGGAAACCCTATGGGGCAGTTCTACTCTGTCCTATAAGGTCACTATGAGTCAGAATCAAGTCAATGACACATAACAATACCAGATATCATGGGAAGAAATATGAAAACTATAGTATGACATTTAAAAAAAAAAGTTTAATAGCACATGTCATATAATTTCATTAGTATATATGCACATGTTTACATATGCATAAAAAATTTTGCTGGGCTATTCAAACAGCTAACAGAGAGTATCTCTTAAGGAGTTAAAATACAGGAGGATATTTGCAATGAGGACTGCTTATTTTCATATATACGCAGTCCCCAGATTATGAACGAGTTCCATTCCTAAATCTGTCTTTAAATTGAATTTGTACATTAAATTGAAACACTTTGGTAGGTTCATATCTAATGTCAGTTAGTCAAATGCTTGTCTTAGTATGTAGTATATAGTGTGCCTTTCTATGTACAAAAAACATCAAAGAAACACTTCCAGATACACTAAAACATCTTTAAAATAATAATACAGTAAAAATAACGTTTTGATGTACGTCACAAAGTAGCATCCATTTGTTAATATGAACCATCGTATGTACCTCAAATTTTTAATATGATAGGCTTTAAAGGAGTTAGTTTGTAATCACAGTTGTATGTAATTTGGGTGTTCATAACCCAGGGACTTCCCATATATCCATTAAAGTTAAATGCGTATGGAAGTTCCAAAGAATATACAGTAAAACCTACAAAAGCCAGAACCTGTGTAAGGTGGAAACCTGTCAAAGAAGGAAAACTCAAAACTAAAATGAAGTAGCATTCTTAATAGAGAGTGACAGAAAAATAGTATACTGCACCCCATCAAAGGCAAGAAACTTGCAAGACCCAGAAAAACAAGGCAGTCCTGTTAAAGTCTGACCCTCACAGGTTTCACGGTACTACAAAATTTTATAACTTTCTTGTGCATAGAAAGGAACACTAGATACTGCATACTAAGACAAATATTTGACTAACTGACATTAGAAGGTGCTAACCTTCTGGTTAGCAGCCAAATATCTTAACCACTATACCACCAGAGCTCCTAGAGATGTCCAACAACAGTGAGAGCTGTGCTGTCACATCCCTGAGACTGGAGGATGGATGACCTGTTGGGTGTGATGTTTCAGCCTTTCATGCCTTCATCAGGAGGTTGTTAGGATGACATAAGAAATTCCTTTCAATCCCATGACCCTAAGATTCTATTAATCTGAGTAAAAGTCTATGAATCTATGCACGCTTTGCTGCTGTAGGATTCCAGGATTCTAAGATTCTTCACAGTTCCTAGAGTATACTCTCCTCAGGGCTTCCAACAGCTGGTCCATGGCACCTTCCCTCCAGCACCTTCCCCTGCCCCACAGATGCCCAGCTCACCTTCTGAGGAAACTCAAGGGGGACACTGGTCTTGACCTCGGCACTGACAGTCACGTTCCCAGGAACAGGAATAGGGTCAGGTTCCAGTGTCAGGCTTCTGATCACAGCAGGGTCCTTCTCATCACAGTTATCCCAGGAAAACATGCCCAACTGGGATAGCCAGGGACAATCAGGCAGCAAGGAAAGAAGAAAAGAGAAAAGTTAACAAAACCTGCTTACAGGTCAGAAGAATCAAAAGAAAGTCTACTGAGGGTGCAGCATTAGGCAGTGTGCTTTCCCTTTCTGGGCCTCAATTACCACAGCAGTAAACCAGAGATAACATTTATCCTACCCATTTTATAGGCAGGACAAAAGTAAAGGATTCAAAAGATAACTTCCCAAAAGCAAGCTGTAAACTATAAAGCACAGTATTACAGGGGTCTGAGTCAAACAAAACAGGAGACTAACCTTATCCATATTTGGTTCCTTTTCTGATCTCCTACCTCACTGTCCCCTATGCCTCTCAAACCTGCCAGTCTTGGCATCCCATTAGAAAGTAAGTTCCTAGAGGATTCAACTTTGTAGCTCATGCACAAGATACTGTTCTCATCATACTCTATGCCCAATCCAGAGCCAGGAATAATAGGAAACAGAACAGCTTCCCAGCACCCCCACTTCCCCTCCCCCCACTGAAGGATGGGCAGTTAACCCTGGGAGGGAATAGTACACTCATAAAATGATACCCAGTGGGGCATGTGATGAACAATTCCCAATGAATGAACTTCCCCACTCCTGGGCTTTCCTAATCCCAAGGCCATTGCTCACACCATGCCCCTGCCTGAATCATCCTACATAACTCTTGCTGCTGGCACCAGAGAATTGCTTGTGATTAACAAGCCAGGCCTTAGGCAAGATAAGAAACCATGTTTCAAAAGCCCCACAAGCTTGACCAGTTGTAAAATGCTAAATAAACCTCCTGAGTACCTCATCAGGTGCAGAGCAGGCGCAGTAGCAGTAAAATTCAACAAAGTGACCTTCCACCAAAGGCAGTCAAGAACAGGAGTCCCTAACTGGGATTTGAACGAGGGTCCAAAGACATCACTCATGCACAACAACCCAGAGTAAGTCATGTCAAGCATCTTAGCAGTCTTCATGACAGGTTCCACCTTCGTTCTTAACAGCCTTTGCAGTGGAATCTATCTTCCGTATTTCTTGCACATGCATCTGATCTTCATAATCCCATCTCTTTCCCAGAGATCCCCACCTATTTCTTGAATAAAGATGATGCCTTTTTTTCCTCCTAAAACCCTTCATAAACCTTAGGAAATCCTTTGTTCAGGGAGAGACTGGAGGCTAGCATACACCGGAGATACTCTCTGTCTCTCCCTCGCAAGCCCCTCCCCTCTCCATTCTCTTTAATAAACTTTGGTTCATCTGGGCATTCTGCCTCTCCAGTTCAATTCTTCGTCAGTAGAAGACAAGGACCCTTGCTCAGGGTCCCAGAACCCCTGGTAACAAATGAGATTCCTTGTATACCTATAACTTCCCCTGTACTTGAACTTCTTGAGTTTCTGCTCCTTGTAATGAAACCTGCTGTGACTAAGGCAAGGGAAGGGTCTGATTCATCCTTGCATTCTCCACAGCCCCTTACTCAGGGTAGGTCATTCCACATTCATCCCATAAATATTTATGAAGCAATGATTACAGGCCCTGGGTTAAGCACTGCACTGTGCTAATAGTGGTAAACAATTAGACATGGATCCTGCCCTCCCTTGTGGAGCTTACAGTCTACTGTAAAAAATGTTATCCATGACAACTTGTGAGTGCTAAAGGAAATGAACAGAAGGTGATGTTGACAGTAACAAAGGGTGGTGAGGAAGTGATAGGTAAGCTGGACTTCTGCAGGATGATGAGCAAGCCATGTGACTTGCAGAGAGAAAGAATGCTCCAGGCAGAGGTAGTATGTGCAAAGGCCCTGAGATAGCTAGGAGGGAGCTTAGCTGCTGTGAGTAGTACAAGAAAGCCAGTGGGCTACATGTCATAGATGAGGGACCCTGAGGTTAGAGGGATGAGCAGGGCCATTTAATGCAGGACCACAGAGATCATAGTCCAGAGAGTGAGTTTACTATATATGCAATAGAACCTCCTTGAACTAAAGTGCCCTGCTCTAATGTATGGTTGAGAACAGATCAGAGAGGAATAAGATTAGAAGTGAGTGACCAGTTAGGAGGCCACTGTCAAATGAAAGAATGCCTGGAATTAAGTGTTGGGCTGGAGAGTGGGAGGACTAACCATTTTCTGGGGCTCCTTTCACAGATTCTATGCAGCCAATTTCACATTGAGCATTGGTTCTGGGCTAAAGGAGCATACAGAAAGCACTGTTGAAGCTGAAGAATCAACTCCTCTCTCCTAAGCACACCCCACTCCAGACACACAAACACAAACACGCACACACACTCCACACACACACACTTGCTATGCCCTAAAGTAGGCATTTGTTGTTGTTGTTCTTGTTATGTGCCGTCAAGTCGGCCCCTCCTTGGGTTTCCGAGGCAGTATCACTACGGAAGTAGATTGCCCCATCCTCCTAACGAGGAGTGGCTGGTGGGTTTGAACCACCAGCCTTCTGGTTAGCAGTAAGTGCTTTAGGCATTATGCTACCAGAGCTCCTAAAGTAGGCATAGCAAGATGGTTTCTCAACAGGAGTGTCAGCTAGAGGCTGTGGCAATGAATTCTGTGACCAAGCTCATAAGAGAAGGTGTGATAGATTAGCAATGCCCACCAAGGTATTTGCTATCTCCAGCCTAAGCCAACACCCTGTGTAGAAAGAGGCAACATATGACAGCTCAGAGAGGGATTTAAGGTACAAATCACAAACCTGGGGTAAAGTCATAGTTCAACCATTCTTACTGGCTGAGGCCAAGGGTTAGTTAACCCCTCTTGATTGTCAGTTTCATCTATGAAATGGGCATAATTATACCTTCCTCACAGGGCTAGCGTGAGCGTCAAACATTCATAAACAGAAAGCACATGGCACAACTCTCAAGGTCATGAGAAAGTAAGGAAAGGCCAAGACCAGAGGAAACCAGGGAGACGTGACAACTAAATGCAATGTGGTACCCTGGATCAAATCCTGGAACAGAAAGAAGACATTAATGCAAACATTGGTGAACTCCAAATAAAGTATGGAGTTTAGTTAATAGTAATGTACCAAAGTTGGTTTCTTAGTTTTGACAAAGAATGATGATAACATATGATGCTAACATGAAAAGAAACTTGTTGTTGTTTGCTGTCGAGTCGGCCCCGACTCATAGCGACCCCTCCTTGGGTTTCCGAGGCAGTATCACTACGGAAGTAGGATTGCCCAACCTTCCTTCCGAG